TCTTGTAAATTTGTTTAAGTTCCTTGTAGATTCTGAATATTAGTCCTTTGTCAGATGGATGGATTGCAAAAATTTTCTCCCATCTTGTAGGTTGCCTGTTCACTCTGATGGTAGTTTCTTTTGCTGTGCAGAAGCTCTTTAGTTTAATTAGATACCATTTGTCAATTTTGGCTTTTGTTGCCATTGCTTTTGGTGTTTTAGTCATGAAGTCTTTGCCCATGCCTATGTCCTAAATGGTATTGCCTAGGTTTTCTTCTAGGGTTTGTATGGTTTTAGATCTAACATTTAAGTCTTTAATCCATCTTGAGTTAATTTTTGTATAAAGTGTAAAGGAAGGGGTCCAACTTCAGTTTTCTGCATATGGCTAGCCAGTTTTCCCAATACCATTTATTAAATAGGGAATCCTTTCCCCATTGCTTGTTTTTGTCAGGTTTGTCAAAGACTAGATGATTGTAGATGTGTGGTTGTATTGTAGATGTTATTTCTGAGGCCTCTGTTCTGTTCCACTAGTCTATATATCTGTATTGGTACCAGTACGATGTTGTTTTGGTTACTGTAGTCTTGTAGTATAGTTTGAAGTCAGGTAGCATGATGCCCCCAACTTTGCTTTTTTTGCTTAGGATTGTCTTGGCTATGCAGGCTCTTTCTTGGTTCCATATGAACTTTAAAGTCGTTTTTTTTTTTGTTTGTTTGTTTGTTTTTCTAATCCTGTGAAGAAAGCCATTGGTAGTTTGATGGGGGTAGCATTGAATTTATAAATTACCTTGGGCAGTATGGCCATTTTCACGATATTGATTATTTCTATCCATATTCATGAAATGTTTTTCATTTGTTTGTGTCCTCTCTTACTTCCTTGAGCAGTGGTTTGTAGCTCTACTTGAAGACGTCCTTCATATCCCTTGTAAGTTGTATTCCAAGGTATTTTATTCTCTTTGCAGGAATTGCGAGTGGGAGTTCACTCATGATTTGGCTCTCTGTTTATCTATTATTGGTGTATAGGAATGCTTGTGATTTTTGCATTGATTTTGTATCCTGAGACTACTGAGGTTGCTTATCAGATTAAGGAGATTTTGGGCTGAGACAATGGGGTTTTCTAAATATATAATCATGTCATATACAAACAGAGACAATTTGACTTCCTCTCTTCCTATTTGAATACGCTTTATTTCTTTCTCTCACCTGATCGCCCTGGCCAGAACTTCCAATACTATGTTGAATAGGAGTGGTGTGAGAGGGCATCCTTGTCTTGTGCTGGTTTTCAAAGGGCATGCTTCCAGCTTTTGCCCATTCAGTATGATATTGGTGTGGGTTTGTTATAAATAGCTCTTATTATTTTGAGATACATTCCATCAACGCCTAGTTTATTGAGAGTTTTTAACACGAAGGGCTGTCGAATTTTATCGAAGCCCTTCTCTGCATCTATTGAGATGATCATGTGGTTTTTATCATTGGTTCTGTTTATGTGCTGGATTACATTTATTGATTTGCATATGTTGAACCAGCCTTGCATCCCAGGGATGAAGCCAACTTGATCATGGTGGATAAGCTTTTTGATGTGCTGCTGGATTCAGTTTGCCAGTATTTTATTGAGGATTTTTTGCATCAACGTTCATCAGGGATATTGGCCAGAAATTTTCCTTTTTTGTTGTGTCTCTGCCACGTTTTGGTATCAGGATGATGCTGGCCTCATAAAATGAGTTAGGGAGGAGTCTCTCTTTTTCTGTTGTTTGGAATAGTTTAGAAGGAAGGTACCAGCTCCTCTTTGTACCTCTGGTAGAATTTGACTGTGAATCTATCTGTTCCAGGGCTTTTTTTGGTTGGTAGGCTATTAATTACTGCCTCAATTTCAGAACTTGTTTTTGGCCTATTCAGGGATTCGACTTCTTCCTGTTTTAGTTTTGGGAGGGTGTATGTGTCCAGGAATTTATCCATTTCTTCTAGATTTTCTAGTTTATTTGCGCAGAGGTGTTTATAGTATTCTCTGATGGTAGTTTGTATTTCTGTAAGATCAGTAGTGATATCCCCTTTATCATCTTTTATTGTGTCTATTTGATTCTTCTCTCTTTTCTTCTTTATTAGCCTAGCTAGTGGTCTATTTTGTTAATCTTTTCAAAAAACCAGCTCCTGGATTCATTGATTTTTTGAAGTTTTTTTCGTGTCTCTATCTTCCTCAGTTCTGCTCTCATCTTAGTTATTTCTTGTCTTTTGCTAGCTTTTGAATTTGTTTGCTCTTGCTTCTCTAGTTCTTTAATTGTGATGTTAGGGTGTTGATTTTAGATCTTTTCTGCTTTCTCCTGTGGGCATTTAGTGCTATAAATTTCCCTGTACACACTGCTTTAGCTGTGTCCCAGGGATTCTGCTGTAGTGTGTCTTTGTTCTCATCAGTTTCAAAGAACTTACTTATTTCTGCCTTAATTTCATTATTTAGCCAGTAGTCATTCAGAGAAGTTGTTCAGTTTCCATGTAGTTGTGTGGTTTTGAGTGAGTTTCTTAATCCTGAGTTCTAATTTGATTGCACCGTGGTCTGAAAGACTGTTTGTTATGATTTCCATTCTTTTGCATTTTGAGGGTGCTTTACTTCCAATTATGTGGTCGATTTTAGAATAAGTGCTATGTAGTGCTGAGAAGAATGTATATTCTGCTGATTTGGGTGGAGAGTGCTATAGATGTCTATTAGGTCTGCTTGGTCCAGAGGTGAGTTCAAGTCCTGAATATCCTTGTTAATCTTCTGTCTCATTGATCTGTCTAATATTGACAGTGGGGTGTTAAAGTCTCCCACTATTACTGTGTGGGAATCTAAGTCTCTTTGTACGTCTTTAAGCACTTGCTTTATGAATCTGGGTGCTCCTGTATTGGGTGCATATATATTTAGGATAGTTAGCTCTTCTTGTTGCATTGATCCCTTTACCATTATGTAATGCCCTTGTCTCTTTTGATCTTTGTTGGTGTAAAGTATGTTTTATCAGAGTCTAGGATTGTAACCCCTGCTTTTATTTGCTTTCCATTTGCTTGGTAAATATTCCTCCATCCCTTTACTTTGAGCCTGTGTGTGTCTTGGTACATGAGATGGGTCTCCTGAATACAGCACACCAATGGGTCTTGACTCTTTATCCAATTTGCCAGTCAGTGTCTTTTAATTGGGGGCATTTAGCCAATTTACATTTAATGTTAGCATTGCTATGTGTAAATTTGATTCTGTCATTATGATGCTAACTTGTTATTTTTCCCGTTAGTTGATGTGGTTTCTTCATATTGTTGATGGTCTTTATAATTTGGTATGTTTTCGCAGTGGCTGGTACCAGTTATTCCTTTCCATGTTTAGTGTTCCCTTCAGGAGCTCTTGTAAGGCAGGTCTGGTGGTGACAAAATCCCTCAGCATTTGCTTGTTTGTAAAGGATTTTATTTCTCCTTCACTTATGAAGCTTAGTTTGGCTGGATATGAAATTCTGGGTTGAAAATTCTTTTCTTTAAGAATGTTAAGTATTAGCTGCCACTCTCTTCTGGCTTGTAGGGTTTCTGCAGAGAGATTCACTGTTAGTCTGATGGGCTTCCCTTTGTGGGTTACCTCACCTTTCTCTCTGGCTGCCTTTAACATTTTTTCCTTCATTTCAACCTTGGTGAATCTGACAATTATGTGTCTTGGGGTTGCTCTTCTCAAGGAGTATCTTTGTGGTGTTCTCTGTATTTCCTGAATTTGAATGCTGGCCTGTCTTGCTAGGTTGGGGAAGTTCTCCTGGATAATATCTTAAAGAGTGTTTTCACACTTGGTTCCATTCTCTCCAGCACTTTCAGGTACACCAATCAAACGTAGGTTTGGTCTTTTCACATAGTCCCATATTTCTTGGAGGCTTTGTTCACTCCTTTTCATTCTTTTTGGTCTTCATGCTTTATTTCATTAACTTGATCTTCAATCTCTGATATCCTTTGTTTCAGTTGATCAATTTGGCTATTGATACTTGTGTATGCTTCATAAAGTTCTTGTGTTGTGTTTTTAGCTCAATCAGGTCATTTATGTTCTTCTCTAAACTGGTTATTCTAGTTAGCAATTCCTCTAACCTGTTTTTCAAGGCTCTTGCTTCCTTGCATTGGGTTAGAACATGCTCCTTTTGCTTGAAGGAGTTTGTGATTACCCACCTTCTGAAGCCTACTTCTGTCGATTTGTCAAACTCATTCTCCATCCAGTTTTGTTCCCTTGCTAGCAAGGAGTTGGGATCCTTTGGAGGAGAAGAGGCTTTCTGGTTTTGGGAATTTTCAGCCTTTTTGTGCTGGTTTTTCCTCGTCTTCATGGATTAATCTATCTTTGGTCTTTGATGTTGGTGACCTTTGGATGGTGTTTTCATGTGGACGTCCTTTTTGTTGATGTTAATGCCTTCCTTTATGTTTGTTAGCTTTTCTTCTAACAGTCAGGCCCCTCTGCTGCAGGTCTACTGGAGTTTGCTGGAGGTCCACTCCAGGGTCTTTAAAAGCCCCTTCTCAGTTGAGGCAATGGCTTCTGGTGTGGCTACTTGTCCCAAGGAGAAGTCAAGAACAAGAACCCCATAGTGTTCTCCTCTTTGTGTGCACTTTGATGCATTATCTTCCAGAGCTTCTGTTACAATTAAGATTTACCCTCCCAAACCCTGCTTCAGAGTCCTCCAACTCAACGGTAGTACCTACCGATCTCAGTTAAGGAGGTTCGCATGGTTCAACTACCTTTTTTCCTTTCACTTATTTGTAAGCTGCTCCTTTTCATCCAATGAATGCCTGACCAGGTTTCACGTGTACCACCTTTGACAGGAACATGGTGCCCTCACCTGGTTTACAATACAATACATATTGTTCCTTCTTTTTTGTATTCCTTTGATAATATGCTATGTCCAAGGTATCATCTCCATCTAGAAGTCCTATTGCTTGCTTTTAAAGTAAAGGTAGCAATAGTTTAGTTTGTCTATCTGAGACTGGATCCAAAGTTGCTCTGCTGTTCTGGAACTCATATTCAAGAGATGGTATTCTCAACTCACCCTTCATTACAAGAATAATTAACTGTTGATCCAAACTGGGTATCTGTGTTTATATGCACCATTCCATTGAAGGGTTCTGGAGGAGTTCCACATGATTTTCCTAGGGGGAAGAAGCAGAATTTGGGATTAAGTGTAGAGTTCAACTTACGTTTGTTTGTAAGGTTCAAACTGGAGTGTGGCATACTAAACAGCATATACAGTTCCAATTGTTTAATGGAATTGACTGCTTTGAAGAAACTTGGCATACAACTTCAGAACCATGCAGCTACAGAACACCACTTTAAAAAAGACTACCTTATATCTCCCAGTAAAAGTTATGTATGGGCTCACGCTTGTAATCCTAGCACTTTGGGAGGCCAAGGCAGGCAGATCTCCTGAGGTCAGGAGTTCAAGACAAGTCTGGCCAATGTGGCAAAACTCCATCTCTACTAAAAAATACAAAAATTAGCTGGGCGTGGGGGTGGGTGCCTGTAATCCCAGCTACTCAGGAGACTGAGGCAGGGAGACTTGCTCGAACCCAGGAGGTTGCAGTGAGCCAAGATCGCACCACACTCCGGCCTGGGTGACAGAGTGAGGCTCCATCTCAGAAAAAACAAACAAACGACAACAACAAAAAACACAACAGAAACAAAACAAAAAACAAAACAAAACAAGTCATTTGTGGCTAAAGTATTGTACTCTCATTCCACCAGCCAAAATCAAAGGCCTCAAAATTTGGGATGTCTCCCCTATTTTTAGTTAGCCAAGCACAGTTCACTGTAACCCACATAAATTTCTTTTGTACCCCTGTTTCATTCATTTCATGGTTTCAGCCATCAAGGATGATCTACAGTGAATATAAATTTTCTCTCTAATTCTTTTGTGAGAGCCATTCTCATGAAATCCAAGGTTCAGGAACTCTGAGCAATAAAAAGGGGTGATGTACAAGACCACCCTTTATCAAAATACCTTGGGCAAATATAGACATCTTGCCTCCAAAATTTGAGCAAATTGAATCAAATCCCACACTGTTTTTATTGTTGTTGTTTGTACAGATGGGGTTTGGCCATGTTGCCCAGGCTGGTTGCGAGCTCCTGAGCTCAAGCTGTCTGCCAGCTTTGGCCTCCCAAAGTGCTGGGATTACAGGCTTGAGCCACCAAGCCTGGTCCCATCTATGCTTTAAGAGACATGAAGTAGTTCCCAGGGAGGGGTTACTTACGTCTACAGTTGTCTTCAACACTTGACCAGACCAAGTTTTCTAGGCAGGAGATAGAGAACATTCTCCCAAAATACCCAGGATGGCATTCATAATTCAAAGATGTCCCTACTGGAAACTCAAAGTCATTAATTGGGATTGTAGGACTGGCAAATGGAAACTGCTCTGGGGTTTTACAGTGACCTGGAGAACAAAACCACAGGAATATCAAAGTTAGCAGAGAGACTTCCACCCTACCTCCTGTTTCTCTCCAATTAAGCTGATAGGTGGATCACAGAAACAGACTTACAAAAATAGCAAAAGATTTTCTTCTTTTTGATATTACCTTGGCATAAACTTTTCAATGGCATCTACTCAGTGGAATTTTTTTTTTTTTTTTTACTATTTAGAAGATCACTCAGCTTTCTGATCTTTCTTCCCTTATTTCACCAAAACAAGAACTCCAGCTTGTAGTTTCATATGTCAGATCTCCTGTCGGAGTGCCTATATCCTCAGTTAACTGCTCAAATGCTCATGTATTTGTGCTAATTCACTCATGAGTTGCAAGACATATTTTATTATCTCTCTCCATCTACTCCATTCTCAGGGTGCCCAGCATAAACTGACTCTCTGGCCTTTCATAGCAGATACCAGTTGTAGTGAGTTGAATTATGTTCTCCCAAAAGATATCTCTACCTAAAACCTCAGAATAGAAACTTATTTGTAATAATGGTTTTTCAGATAGAATTAAGGTTAGCATCTTGAGATTAGATCATCTTTTACTTAGAGTGGGCCCTAAATCCAATGACTGGTGTCCCTATCAGGGAAAAAGTGGAGGGATTTGAAATATAGAGACACAGGGGAAAAGGCTATGATGGAGGCAGGGATTGGAATGATGCATCCACAAACCAAGGAATACCAAGGAATTCCAGGAACCAGCAGGAGCTGGAAGAAGTAAGGAATTGGTTATTTTCTAGAGCCTTAGAAGATGGGAAAATACCCCTGCCAACATCTCAATTTCAGACTTCTAGCCTACAAAACTGTGAAATAATAAGTTTCTTCTGTTTTAAGCTACCTAGTTTGTGGTAATTTGTTACAGCAGCCCTAGGAAACTAACACAGTGTTGTTCTTCTGATGCTAAACCACACATTTAAAGATAAAACAAAATAGGCTGGGCATGGTGGCTCACACCTTGTAGTCCCACCACTTTGGGAGGCCAAGGCAGGTGGATTGCTTTAGCCCAGGAGTTCAAGACCAGCCTGGGCAACATGACGAAAACCGGTCTACATAAAATACAAGAATTAGCTGGGCAAGGTAGCATGCACCTGTGGTCCCAGCTATTTGGGAGGCTGAGATGGGAGGCTTGCTTGAGCCAGGGAGGTTGAGGCTGCAGTAAACTATAATTGCACCACTCTACTCTAGCCTGGGCAAAAGAGCAAGACCCTCTGTCTCAAAAAAAAGTACATACACACATAAAAACAAAACAAAACAAAAAAAGAACCAGAACAAAACAGACTAAGCCATCAGCCTCCTGTAAGAAGCTATGTCTTCTTTTTGAGAGAGTATATTGTGTGCTGCGTATTTTTACTTTTTTGTTTTACAATTTTTTAATTTTATTTTTTATAGAGATGGGATCTTGCTGTGTTGGCCAGGTTGGTCTTGAACTCTTGGCCTCAAACAATCCTCTCACCTCGGCCTCCAAAAGCGCTGGGATTATAGGTGTGAGCTACTGTGCCCAGCCATGTGCTGCATATTTTCAAATACAGTCTGAACTCCACTCCCTTCCTTTTGGAGAAGACTTCCTCCATCTGTTCATTCATTAAGACTTCACTGGGGTCTAGGCATTTGCATTAAAAAAATTTACTGGATTCTGATTAGTAGCACTCAGTTGGAGGGTAAATGTAACAGACAGGTTAAATGCCTGTCATCAGGGTTAGCCTTTTCACCTTGGCTTGTTCTTCTCTCTCAGGGCTTCCCTGTGGATAATGGAATATTCCAAGGCTGGTGCCACATCCCTAATCTACTACAGCTTCTGTTCTGGAAAAGACCTAATATTTGCCCTAAAGGACTAGGCGACTTCACCCCCTCCTTAGGAAGAAACAGACTCTTCCTTTTCCTACTCTTTTCTTTGGGCTACTGTTTCCTTGCTTCTTACCCTGAGTGGAACAGTTCAAGTACAAAGATTGAGACGACCTGGAGGCAAGCTGACAAGTGGACAAATGTTAAGTCAAGAGGAAGAGTCTTTTTGGTTACTTAGCCCATGCAGCAGAACACTAGTTTAAAACCTTAGCTAAATAATATCCACATTTTCAATTTTGAACTTTGCATGCCCATGTACCCCTCATGAACTTATGGAGAGTGTCTGTCAATTATACAGATACTGGTTAGTGTTCATAGGCAGTTGTTTTCATGTCCTCTCCAGTGAATACATTTTTCCTCCTGAATTACATCACTGCGCCCTACTACCTTCCCTCCACCCCTCCCCTCAGTCCCATTACCCCACCCTCTTCCACTCCACCAGCAAGAAGAGTTCTCATCTTATAGATTTAAACATACCTTGGCACTGCTGAAACCCATCTGTTTTAGCTATGGTATGTAATTTTGTCATTTCCACTTATGACAAAGTTAAGCTCACAAAAACATACCATAGTCTTATTACAGAAACATGAGGGATGGGTCCAGATATTCTGAACCCATTTAGGATATGTGGAAACAGATACTGACCAGCACGAACAGAAAGTTCACAGCGAGGGGCGGGGCTGCTCCAAACCCCATTCCCTTGAAGGTCACTTGTGCAGCGGATGGTGCTCTCCCCAATGAGGTTGAAGGTCATCCCTCTGTCTGGGTGGGGGTCACATGTGTAAGATATTTCTTTTCCATAGGGAATATCTCCAAGGAGAGCTCCTGTGTGTCTCCCATTAAGGATAGCTGGAGGATTTGGACAAAAGATATCTAGAAAGAAAACAAGAGCTCTCAATTCCACAAAAAATTTTAAATTATTATCCAAGGTGATTCTACAGTTGTCATACTATGACTGTGTTGCCAATTAAGCATACTTTTTTTCTTAAGGAAAGTAGAAACTGCAAAATAAATGTATTAGACCTCTGCTAAGATGGAGCTAAATGAAATGACAACTAAATCAATGTTTATTACAAAAGCCATTGCCAAATTAAGCATCCTAAATTTTTCAGATAGTTAATATTTCTGAATAATAAAGGGTATATTCCTTTAAAGTAAATAAAAATCTTCATAGTCACATTAAAGGGGAATCATCCGTTAATTCAACAAGCATTTTTTTGAATATCTGCTGTATGTCAAGTACTGTTTTAAGCACAAGATAAATATGATCTTTGACATCAAGAATCTTCATCCTAGAGACATCTTTCTAAAATATATTATGCATTTATTATTTGTATATCAGTGATTTAATTTTTCTTGATGATGCCAGATTATGATTTTCAAAATAAAGATGAAAGATTACAGTAATGCTGTCAAATGAAATAAAATATACTGTGTACCCCTGTATATGTTTCAAAAGGCTCAAGAATGTTATGGTTTTTTGAGATACTCATTGGTTTTTAAAGGTTTTTTTTTTTTTTTTCCCCACTAAACAAACACATTTATTCCTTGGAATGCCTCTATTTGGGGACATCCTTCCCCTTTCTAATTTGCTTTGAATTTGGAAAGAGGATATTACAGTTTAAAAGAATTATAGATAAACTAATCAAAGGTTAAAATAGCTTAACCAATGTTTACACTCTAGTAAGCAATTTCAGATATATGTTGGGTTCATTAGGGTATTTTCTCTTTCTTTTCTTTCATACTTCTTAACTATTCCAGGGAAGTTAAGATTCTCAAATAGCTGACTTCCAACAATGTAAGATGAAATTATCAAGTTTCATCGTATAAATCAGTACAAGACATTGAAATAATTTAAGGCAAAGTATTCATTTGAGCGAAATTCTATTGTAAACATATATTTTTAATAGCTATGATCAGAAGGGGAACCAATATCCTGATTAATTTAGTGAAGAAGTAAATGGATAGATTGGACATAGTAGTGTTTCTGGTTTTAACACACTATTTTCTGCCCTCTTAAAAATCAAAAGCAACCCCCTTGCTGCCATTTCCCTCTCCAGCTATAGTCCTATTTCTACTCTCTTTACATGAAAACTCCTCTAAAATACTGTTTATGATCTGTTACAGTTCCTCTGTTTGTTCTCCCTAGAATTCATTCCAATCAGTGTTTGTCAGTACTCCACTGAAACTGCCACTTGTTACCTCCAAGTTGCTAAACCCAAAGATCAATTTTCTGTTCTCACCTAATTTGACCTCTTTATGGAATTTGACACAGTTGATTAATCTAGTCCTTTAAAGGAATTTACACCCTTGGCTTCCAGGGCACCTCACCCTCCTGTGTTTTCTCTTATTGCAGTGGCTGCTTCATTATAATCCCCTTTGCTGATTCCTTCTCACCTTTTCAACTCTTAATCCTGGACATCCAGGCTCAGTCCATGCATCTGTTCTTTAGCAGCACTCACTCCCTAGGTGAAGATCTCTTTCAGTCCTGATTTCAAGCATAGCAGATACAATGAGGGCTTCTACATATCTATGGGCAGCCTGGGACTCTCTAACATATCCATCTGGATATCTAAGAGGAACACTAAAATTATGTCCCAAGAGTAACTTTTGATTTCCCCCTTCCCAAACTTCACGCAGTCCCCTGCATTTCAGCTAAGGCAAATTCTACCCTGGCGGTTGCTCTGGCCAAAAACCTAGAAACTGTTTATGATTCTTCTCTCTTTCACACCCTCTATCTAAGCACCATCACCAAATTCTGTCATCTGCACCTTCAAAATATATCCAGAATTTGATCACTTCTCATCATCATCTTTCCCAATTGCTATCCTGGGCCAACATCTCTGATGAGATTGCTGCAGCAGCCTCCCAGCGTGAACCCTCAGGTACACCCAGAGGTTTGCTTGACTACAATTGCCTTTTGGGCCCTCAGCTACTTTCTCAATTGAGAGCACTGACTCAATTAAGAGCATTTTCTTAATAACACTTAGTATCATTCGAACATTTCTATTCATGTCTTTGATTTTTATCTTTATCCTTGCACAAAAATCTAAACATGGACTTATCTGTCTTATTTATAGGTATATTCCCAGTTCCCAGAAGATTGCTTGGCACATAGTAGGTACTCAAATAATTTTCTGTTGAAAGAATGAGTATGTGACTAAATGGATGATTGAGGGAAGAACTGAAAAGTTGAAGTATGACTATTACTTTTGACAGGAAAGAAGAGAAAAATTTAGCCCAGCATCTTACCATACATTTATTTCTATGAAGCATTTCTCTCTATTTATAGCACAGACTCCCTCATAAATATTTATAGGAGGGTACCCAAAACACATGATTCTCAGGTTTATTTTTCCCCAAAACGTTGCTTGTATCTATTCCAACAAAGAACTATGTCTATCAAAAGTAGGCATAAACAGCGGGACCAACAGTAGATAATCCCATGGGGCAAACCACATTAAGAAAAAAAACAAAGAGAAAGATCCAGACTGAACAAGTATTCCATCTACTCACGTTCACACACAGGAACACTGTTATTCCAAAGGCTTCTCATTCCAACCAAGACACAATGACTAACGGAACTGCCCTTTAAGCGAAACCTAAAGAACAAAGCAGTAGTGGCTGGGTGAATGCACCATTTCTCTCTTCCCTTCATTGACAGATCTCAACCTCCTCCCTGAGAATTCCTAAGTTAATTAACATTTTACTGCTCAAGCTAAAGCACAGGTGAAAATGCTCAACTCACTTAGTTTCTCATTGACAGGGGCTCAGAAGCAAAATCTTTTTGGAAAAAGTGTAGCTTTCAGTGAGGACAAAGCAATAACAGCTGGCGAAGTTGTCAATCATACATAATTGGATTTTAGAATATTTCTACTTACTCTTTCATTCCTATTCCAAATTCCACTATTTATTTGTTTAAAAGTTTTTTGAAATACTCTTTGCATGCTATTTTATCTTATACACAACTTTCTCTTATATATCGAACTTTTCTTAACAACCCCCTAGAATAGTTATTTATCTCTTCATGTCTGCAAATTATTGTTTATTCATACATCTAATGTTCCGTATGTGTATATATATACTTTTTTTTAGAAGATCTGTTGTATTCTTGCCATTGTTTTTTCTTTGTCCCTTACTGGAAGCTGCACATTTTCCAAAATGATTTTACTTCTGAGCCTCTATAAGTGAGAAATCAAATGAGTTGAGCTTTTTGCTTTTTAAGCTTCTGTTCATGGATCCAGCTGGTTCATACCACACTTTCCAATCATTGTTTCAGATATTAGTCTCCTCTAGTACTTCTTTTCCACTAGGCCACTCCCCTTTTCTGGACTGGTGATTGTATTTCTGTTTATATTTGACACTGAGTTATATGTGCATTTTTTCTTCATCTCTTTATCTCTTGATAGTAGTGTCACTTAGTCCCTACCCTTTTTTTTTTTTTTTTTTTTTTTTTTTGAGACGGTGTCTCGCTCTGTCACCCAGGCTGGAGTGCAGTGGCCGGATCTCAGCTCACTGCAAGCTCCGCCTCCCAGGTTCACGCCATTCTCCTGCCTCAGCCTCCTGAGTAGCTGGGACTACAGGCGCCTGCCACCTCGCCCGGCTAAGTTTTTGTATTTTTAGTAGAGACGGGGTTTCACTGTGTTAGCCAGGATGGTCTCGATCTTCTGACCTCGTGATCCGCCCGTCTCGGCCTCCCAAAGTGCTGGGATTACAGGCTTGAGCCACCGCGCCCGGCCCCTACCCTTATTTTAAAACTACACTTCCAGAAGTTAATCTCCCTGGGTTCTTCTTTTCCTAGGTCAGCCCTCTTTTTGGATTGATCCTTGAGCTCAAGAGTCACTCTCCAGTGCTAAGTCCTTGATCTTAATTCTGGGTCACACTCACCCTTCATCACAGACAAAGGACACCTTTGCCCCAAGCTGGAGATTGAATGGAACTAGCACACGGCCATGATGGAGTTGACCCAAGAAGTCATCACAGGATTTCACTAGAAGAAGAAAAAAAGAAAAAATAGGAGTAAGACCTCCATGTGCGGGGTAAAGAGAGCAGTCTGGAAGCTAGAGAGTTGAGGCACCTGCACATCTGGGGGCTTCAGGGTTCCAGTCTCCCTGGGGCGTGCAGTGCAGAGACGCAGCCCCTCTGAGGTCATAGCCGGGCTCACAGCTGTAGAACACTTCCTGCCCAGGTGAAAATTTGTCCTGATGACTTGGAGTATGCTCACCATGCAGGATTTCTGGAGGTGGCTGACACACTGTGGAAAGGACAGTTCCAGAGCACTTGTTACTTACGGGGGAATTTCCTATGCTTCCTGAAGGCCTCATAGCTAGTCAGACATAGAGAAATAGAACCCAATTCTCCCTAGCACAAGGCCCTAAATTCACTTGTAAATCTACAGGGCATGAGGTATTTTCTCCTAACTCTGGCTATCCAATGTGGAGTTATTAGTATTGGTGGATTCTCCATCTACATATTTCCTAGGAAGGTAATCCCGATTTGTACCATTGTTAGTCAGGTAATGAGACTGTCACCTGAGACCAAGTCTGTTCTACAGATTTCCCCCAATTTCTCTGATTGCACACCAATGACTAAAGTACAGTCATACTGTTTCTGGACAGGCAAGCCCCCAAATCGGGGCTTACTCTGGAAGGGTTCTTGCCTGACCCAGGAAAGAATTCAGGGATGAGCCAGTGGTGCCAGACAGCAATCTTTTAGTGAAGGGCACTGCCACTTGCAGAGCAGGGCTAACTCACAGACAGTGCACTCAGAGTCAGCAACATAAGGGCTGCTGGCAGGCAACTGTATTTATACTCCTGTGAACCCATTTCAGTTACATGTAAATTAAGGAATGGATCAATGCAGATTGAGGGGCAAGTTATTTAGAACTTTCCAGGAAAAGGGCGGTAACTTCTAGGTCGTTGCCATGGCATTTGTAAACTGTCATGGTGCTGATGGGACTATGAGGGCAGCTAGCAATTGCTTTCATCGCCATCTGCTGGTTCCTGCTGTTTTTTTCACTTCATCCTGTCTGGGCCAGAGCCTGTTTTGGTCAGTAGGATTGTGACCAGAACACAAGCCCTGCCCATCTCCTGCCTCAACACATCCATCTTTATATCCCTTTATCTGTTCGTCTTCCCAGCTCAGTGGTGGCACAAGGCTAACATGGGTTGGTAGAAGAATTGTAAGCTCTTTCTCTGTCCTTACGTATCAGCCATAACACCTCCCATTCAGCTGCTAAGCCAGCTATTGTGGCATCAGTAGACAAGATGAGCCATCAAAAACATAAGCCCTTAAATAAACCAGTCCTTTGTCACCAGACAGCATATTATTTGGAGAGTATTTGACTCAACATCTGCCTTTATTTATAGTCATGTTCATTCATGCTTAGGGCATCAGAACCCATTTTAACATCAACCTAATCTATACTTCATTAAAGATGAATTTAGAAATATTTAACTGGCTTTGAACAAGTTACTTTCACTCTTGACTTAGACTCCTAGGGATAAAATGTAGGATGTGGATGGCTTGAGCCTAGGAGTTTGAGGCTGCAGTGAGCCATGATTGTATCACTGTACTTCAGCCTAGGCAACAGAGTGGGACCTCAACTCTAGTAAATAGTTTTTAAATAAAATAAAATAAAAAATAAAATGTAGGAGGCAGACCATTATAGACAAACTCTAAGGTCTTTGTCTCTATTATGAGGCTATGATTTCTGTCTTTGTAAGCCAGTCTCTTTCTTTCACCAATGGATGCTGATAGAAGCATGGCAAGAGACAAAACATTCCGACTCTGGGGTCTAACACACCTGCCTTTTAAAATCTTGGATGTCTCACTTAGAACATGTGACTTAGCTAATTTATTTAACCTCTGAAAGACCAAGCTGATGTCACTATTAAATGGATAATACAACAGCACAATTTCAAACTGTTGTTGTAAATAATGAATGAGAAAATGCATATAAAGTGCTTAGTGCACAGTTGACCATAAAGTCCATATAATTTTTCAATATAATTGAGAGAGATTGCAGCTGTTACTTTGCCCTGAGAATTGATTAATAAGTCAGTCCAAAATAGCTTTTTTCTTGGCTAATTAAGGTCTTGCTTTTCAAAATGAAGACACATATGCATGGGTGCATGCACACCCCCGATTCTTAATTTCATGCTTCTTCCCCCAAAACTTACTTTCCCACCCTCCTCACCACACATTCCTCCCCTTGAACAAATACTGATCTCCTGATCCAACAGCAATGCATGTCATTTGCAGGGACCTTCTAGGCCTCAGTCAGACTCACCCCTGGAGCAGCTTGGTAACTCTGGCTCCCATTTGTTCAGGGCCTGGCATTGCACACGGCGGGGTCCTTTCATGACAAAGCCAGGCTGACACCTAAACTCCACAACTTCATTTAAGGAAAATAAGCTTCTGTTGACAGATACCAATATTCCATTTTCCACATTTGGAGGCATACATTTGTTAGGTATAATGCACTGAGGGGCCGGGCCGCTCCAGATGCCCACTTGGTCATCTTTGCTGGTGCAGTATATGGAAGGCTCACCCACGAGCTCAAACAGCTTTTTCCTTCCGCTTCCAAGATTGCAGCGGTAGGTCACCACAGATCCATAGTGAAAATACTCTCTGTTGGTGCTAATGAAATCTCCATTGGCGATGGCTGGGGGTAGCCCACAAGGAATTCCTGGAAAAAGAAGCAGCAAGTTAACCAAAACAAAACCTTGGGACAGAGTCTTGCTGTCACCCAGGCTGGAGTGCAGTGCACCATCTCGGATCACTGCAGCCTCCACTTCCCAGGTCCAGCAATCCTCCCACCTCAACCTCCCGAGTAGCTGGGGTCACAGGCATGCACCACTGTGTCTGGTTTATTTTTCTATTTTTAGTAGAGATGGGATTTGGCCACGTTGGGCAGGTTAGTCTTGAACTCCTGGCCTCAAACAATCTGCTTGCCTTGGACTTTCAAAGTGCTGGGATTATAAGCGTGAGCCACCACATCCAGCCTGGTTTCTAATAATTACACTTTATAGTAAATTTTGCTAACAGTTTTTTTTAAATTCCAAATTACCAGAAGTAAATATTGACAATATTATTCTCATCTAATATTTGCTAATGTACAGACATGTTCTTACAGTTGTAAAATATTATGAGTTCTGCTCTACTCAGTTAGCCTTATTTCACTAAATGTATCTACATATTATTAGAGCCCACTTTTTATTTCTTGTTTTTTTTTTTTTTGAACAGAGTCTCACTCTTTTCCCCAGGCTGGAGTGTAGTAGCATGATCTCGGCTCACTGCAACCCCCATCTCCCAAGTTGAAGCGAGTTTCCTGCCTCAGCCTCCTGAGTAGCTGGGATTAGAGGCATGCAGCACCACACATGGCTAACTTTTGGATTTTTAGTAGAGATGGAGTTTCACCATATTGACCAGGCTGGTCTCGAGCTCCTGACCTCAAGTGATCTGCCCGCCTCAGCCTCCCAATGTACTGGGATTACAGGCATGAGCCACTGCGCCTAGCCTATAGTCTATGTTTTTATTTCTCCTGCTAAATGAGAATTTAAGTATGTTATCTCACCATTATTAATTTAGTTCTCTCTCTATAGAAGGCACTTGCCTTTGTGGTATTGGATATTAATATAATAAAGCATATAGCATAGCATTTTTTTTGAGACAGGGTGTTGCTCTGCTGCCCAGGCTGGAGTGCAGTGGCCGGATCATGGCTCACTGCAGCCTCAACCTCTCTGGCTCAAGCAATCCTCCCACCTCTCAGTCTCCCGGGTAGTTGGGACTATAGGCGTGTGCCACCATGCCTGTTTGGTTTTTGTATTTTTTGGAGAGACAGGGTTTCACCATGTTGTACAAGCTGGTCTCGAACTCCTGGGCTCAAGCTATCTGCTCACCTAGTCCTCCCAAAGTGCTGGGATTACAAGTTTGAGTCACCACACATGGCTCAGTATAGCATCTTTATTAAATAATAAGACAAAAAACTCTGGCAGAACTAATAAAGACAAAGCACAAATATACAATATTACATAGAATAAACAAGATACTTACAGATTCAGAAGTAATAAAAATAACTGGATACTGATCTACGGCCATACCACCCTGAATGCGCCCAATCTCGTCTGATCGTGGAAGAACTGAATACTGTGTCCTACTCTACTGTGGGGCAGTGCCCAGCCAGTATGTTGACCTCCTATAAAGTTGGTTCCTACTTATCCTCCCACCAACTGGGTTTGAAATTGCTGATTTCCTCACACCATCACCAAATGCAGGATTATACACATTTTATATTCCTTTTTAGCTTGCAATTGCTCATTCCCTTTGCTCCCCAAAATGTAGAAAGCTCATCTTTCAAACAACTCACAGGGAAGATGGCATGATCCTGTTTAGACAAAGAATAAGAAGGAAGAAAGAGCTGCATGGCTTCAATATCCGATGTGATACTAAGAGCTTGCAGAGAGGATATAGGGGTTATTTCACTGACTTTGTATTTGTTGACTTCAGTGAAGAAAATGCTCTTCAAACTGCGGGTATTCAACCAACAGAGGAGGAAATTGGGGGCTGTTTAAATGAGTTCAAGACTAGTTTAAAATAAATTAGACCTTGAGATAAGAAAAAAACAAAAACGCATTTCTAGGTGAAGGTGGAAGTTTGGGATGCTGTGAGCCATTCTAAGGATATGACTGGATTCTTCCAATATCAGAAGGATACCATTTCCAAGAGGGATGAGATTCATTCTTTGTGATTCTAGGAGGACAACTCTAGGATTAAACGGTGGGGTGAATGGGGAAAGAGACTTCAACTCACGCTGACAAATTGGCGGCTTTGTGCTCCAATGGGCTGTATTGCCTGAGATGACACATTCAGCAGATGAGTGACCAATGAGTCGGTGCCTAAAGGCAAACAGTGGAAAATAATTGCGCTGTACATACCTCATCAACGTCCTCACAGCATGCATATGTGGCAAACCAGAAGGATTACAATGTAGGAGAAGTCTAAGGCCTAGCCTAAACTTTACCTGTTGTTCCCAGCTTTTCTACTTCTTTTTCCTATTCTCTCATTGAAAGAGATATTTTTGCTCTAACTTCTCCCAGCCCACTTTGCTTCTTAATATGTTGGCTTCATTGTGGACTGTACCTGGCGCCAAAATAAAACAATTATTTTGTAGACCTGTTTGACAATTTTTTTTCATAAATTCTATTTTCTTTAAATACTATTTCTGCCATTTTTTGTTTGCATTTTCCCGTAATTTGTGTGTGTGTGTGTGCGCATAATACTATGTCATCTTACTTGAGACATGTTTTTTATAAATACAAGATTTGTTGCTGTTGATCTTGTCTAGGAGACTTTGTCTTTCAACAAGATTAAACCACATGTATTGAGATAAATGATACATTTGATTTGCTTTCATCATCATTCTTTCACTGCCTTTTTCACTGATTTCATGATGCCCAATGATGAGGATGTGGAGAAAGCAATGAATAAAATGATCTGACCCAAACATGAGGGGGCTTATTTCTGGTGGAGGAGATAAATGCATTCCTTGCCTTTTCCTTCCCTCTCACTTGCTATATGGAAGAGATAAATTCAGCTGTTTTAGTCATTCTAATAATTTGGAAATTAAACTTCATATGTTTTCCAATGAGGAATTTCATTTTATACGTGTGCATGTATATTATAAATATGCACACAACAGATATTTAAATCTATTTTCTCAATTTTAGAGTGAAACTCTATATAGTCAGTCTACTCATCTTTTCTGTAATGTAAGTCTAGCCTACCTTTTGTTACTGTCTCACATTTTCTGGTTTTATTGATATGTTCTATGAGTTTAGAGAGATTATTAATAAATTATGATTACATTGCCAAATTTTTATGTGTACTTTTTTTTATTGTTGTTTTTTCTTTTTACCAATATCCTATCTTATTGAAATTTCTTTTGGAATTCATCATTCTCCTTTTTAAAAATTTGCTCATGAATTGCCTGGGAAGCATACTTAAATGGTACAATTTTTGTGTCTTTGCTTATCCTTTAATGTGTGTCTGGAGCCTCTAGGTGTGAATATTAGCTTGGTGCAATAGAAATGCTACCTTATACCATTTCGTGTTGTATAGAATCAATGTGGTGCCAATAAATTTACTTCTTTTGCGGGTATTATATTTTCACATTTTATTTCTGGAATCTGAGTTTTTTTCTCTATCCCTGAAACACAGAAGTTTCCCTAGTGATGGCTAGGTATGGGCTTATTTGTTTACCCTTCTAGAATTTTTGTTACATGTATTTTGAATCCTGACACTGTGTTACATATGTCTTTCCTTTTTGGAGACAGGATCTCATTCTGTCATCCAGGCTGGAGTGCAGGGGTGCCATCATGGCTCACTGAAGCCTCAGCCTCCTGGCCTCAGGTGATCCTCCCACCTCAGTCTCCTCCCTAGTTGTGACTACAGGCACATACCACCACACCCAGCTAATTTTTATACTTTTTTGTAGAGATGGAGTTTTGCCATGTTGCCCAGGCTGGTCTCGAGCTCCTGGGCTCAAGTGGTTCTCTTCTCTCAGCCTCTCAATGTGTTGGGATTACAGGTGTGAGCCACTGTGCCTGCCTGTCTTCTCCTTTTCAACTTTCCCCGCTGCATTCAGGGAAAATTTGGTTAACTCCTCTTACTCTTTGCTTTAATTTTCTGCAATATTCATTGTGAGATCTATATATATATATATATATATATATATTTATCTATATATATATCACATGTATGAAATGAAATATATAAACACATGGAATACATATATTCATTCACATACAAACTTCATGGCTAGTTTCACAGAAGTATTTGTACAATTGAATCTTGTTACCAATATGAAAAGGAGAGTGTTCTGAAAGTTTGCCTGGTTTCTTGGCAGTAAATCTCTTTTGTAAAATTTCTCCTGATTTTTCAGACTGGTCTCTTTTACATGTATTTCCTGTTTCTAGTCATAAGCTCAATGGTTTTCTGCTGTATGCCTTAGAGAGGTTCCCCCCTTATTCAGCAATGCAAGATGAGGAGGGTACAGTCAGGAAACTTATCAATTGTATTTAAAAATGCTCAAAAAATAAAGTAAAGGAGATATTGGATTTATTCTAATTTTACTTTGTCAGATTCTAGGTGCTATGGTCTGTGAGGTCTAGGCTGGCTATATGTGCTGGACACCACAATTCTCCTTTCAGTATTGGTTGCGGTGGCACAAATGTAGCCCTTATTCACTACCTGGCTTAGCTGTTCCAGTGAAGAGTGAGATTGAGGCAGAACCTCCACTGTGTGCTGAGCAAGGCTGAGCACCAACAGCTGGGCCGTGCGCTGTGAGCACCTGACGCTTGACATTTTCAAAGGGGCTCTGTTGTAGGTTGAAGTGTCTCCCCCAGATATGTTGAAGTCTTAACCCCCAGTCTCTGTGGATGTGATCTTATTTGGAAATACAGTCTTTGCAGATGCAATCAAGTTAAGATGAGGTCATTAAGGTAGGCCCTAATCCAATGTGACAGGTGTCATAAAAAGGGAAAACTTTGAACAGAAACACGCACAGAGAGGAGAACAGCATATGAGGACACAGACCCAGAGGGAAGATGGCCATGCGAGGAGCGGGACAGAACAAATTGGAGTTCCACTGCCACACGCCAAGGAAAGCCTGGGGCTCCAGAAGCTGGAAGACGCAATGAAGGATTCTACCCTACAGGATTCAGAGGGAGCATGGCCCTGCCAACACCTTGATTTTGGACTTCCATCCTCTAGAACAGAACTCCAAAAACTTCTGTTGTATTAAGCCGCCCATTTTGTGTTACAGACATTCCTCAAGGATATTGCAGGTTCAGTTCCAGAACACCACAATAAAACAAATATCACAACAGATGAGTCATATGAATTTTTTGATTTCTCAGTGAGTCTAAAAGTTGTGTTTGTACTATACGGCAATCTATTAAGTGTGAAATAGAATTATATCTGAAAAAAGTCATACTTAAAAAAATGGTTTATTGATAAAAAATGCTAAAGATTATCTGACCTTCAATCAGTCGTAATCTTTTTGCTGGTGGAGGGTCTTGCCTCAAGGTTGATGGCTGCTGACTGCTCAGGGTGGTGGTTGCTGAAGGCTGGGGTGGCTGTGGCTATTTCTTAAGCTGAGACAACAATAAAATTGCTGTATTGATTGACTCTTTCACAAAAGATTTTTCTAGCATGCAATGCTATTTGATAACATTTTACCCTCTGAACTGCTTTCAAAATTGGAGTCAATCCTCCCAGATACTGCTGCTGCTTTATCAACTGAGTTTATGTAATATTCTAAATCCTTTGTGGTCATTTTCACAATGCTCATATCACCTTCACCAGGAAGAGACTCCACCTCAAAAAAATCACTTTCTCTGCCCATTCACAAGAAGCAACTCCTCATCTGTTCAAGTTTGATCATAAGATTGTAGCAATTCAGTCATATCTTCAGGCTCCACTTCTAACTGTAGTTCTCTTGCTATTTCTACCACATCTGCAGTTATTTCCTCCACTGAAGTCTTGAACCTCTCAAAGTCAGCCATGAGGGTTGGAATTAACTTCTACCAAACTCTTGTTAATGTTGATATTTTAACCTCTTCCCATGAATCATGAATGTTCTTAATGATATGTATAATGATGAATTCTTTCCAGCAGTTGTCAACTTACTTTGTTCAGATCCATCAGAGGAATTACTGTCTGGGAACTGGCCTTACAAAATGTATTTCTTAAATAATGAAACTTGAAAGTCAAAATTACTCCTTCAGCCATGGTCTGCAGAATGGCTGCTGTGGTCAGCAGGTAGGAACACTCCATTCATCTCTGTGTCCATCTCCATTACAGCTCTTGGTTATTTAGGTATAATGTCAATAAGCGGTAATATTTTGAAAGAAATCTATTTTTCTGAGCACTAGATCTCAACAGTGGACTTAAAATATTCAGTAAACCATGCTGCAAACATACTTCTGTCGTCAGGCTTTGTTGTTCCATTTATAGACACAGGCAAGGTACATTTAGCATAATTCTTAAGGGCCCGAGAGTTTTTAGAATGGTCAGTGAGCATTGGCTTCAACTCAAAGTCACCAGTGGCATTAGCTCCTAAAAATCAGCCTATCCTTTGAAGCTTTGAACCCAGGCATTGGCTTCTCCTCTCTAACTATGGAAGTCCAACAGATGGCTGTTTTGTCTACATGGAAAATCTGTTATTTAGTGTAACACCTTCATCCATGATCTTAGCTAGGTCTTCTAGATAACTTGCTGCAGCTTCTACATGAGCACTTGCTGCTTCACCTTGGATCTTTATGTTATGGAGAGGGCTTCTTTCCTTAAACCTCAGGGACCAAATTCTGCTAGCTTCCAGCTTTTATTCTGCAGCTTCCTCACCTCTGGCAGCCTTCACAGAACTGAAGAGTTAGGGCCTTGCTCAGGATTAGGCTTTGGCTTCAGGAAACGTTTCTAGTTTGATCTTGTATCTAGAGCATTAAAACTTCTTCCCTATCAGCAATAAGGCTGTTTCACGTTCTGTTATTCATGTGTTCACTGCAATAGCACTTTATATTTCCTTCAAGTACTTTTGCTTTGCCTTTACAACTCTCTAGCTGTTTGGCACACGATGAATGGCTTTGGCCTATCTTGGTTTTCAACATATCATCCTCAGTAAGCTTAATCATCCCTAGCTTTTGACTTCAAGTAAGAGATGCATGACTCCTCCCTTCATGTCAACACTTAAAGGCCAGTGTAGGGCTATTAAGTGGCCTAATTGTAGTATTATTGTGTCTCAGGGATTAGGGAGTCCTGAAGAGAAGGAGAGAGAAGTAGAATGTCTAGTCCATGGAGCAGTAAAAGCACGCACATTTATTGATTAAGTTTTCTGTCTCATATGGGTGCAGTTTGTAGGGACCCCAAACAATGACAATAGTCACATGAAAGATCACTGATGACACATACTATCACAGACATGATAATAATGAAAACATCTGGGATATTGTGAGAATAAACAAAATGCTACACAGAGAAACAAAGTGAACACACGCTGTTGGATAAATGATGCGACTGACATACTTATCGTAGCGTTGCCACAAGCCTTCAATTTATAAAAAGCATAACATCTGCAAAGTACATTAAAATGAGGAAGGACTGTACTTTCTGAGGGCAGCCCAAGCAAGTGATCATGCTGTTATCGTTAAGATTTGTTCTCTCACACAGCCACTACATGCCCTTCCCTTTTTTCCAGCAGTGTCTACTCTGGGTTAGGGTAGTTTGTGGGCTTTGACTACTACACTTCTAATTATTTTTCCTTCCCATCCAGTGAACGGCATACTCTTTATATGTGCATTGCCCTGGTTTCCAGCAAGGATACAGATATTCCCCTAATCTTCTCCTATCGTTGTTCATTTCAATCAGGAGTTAACACCTGTGTTCAAACCTCTTAAGAGCAGGTGGCAGTAGCCTAGTTTCCTTCCTGAGATGTGACTAGAAGGTAGTATTGCTGTGCTGGACTCTTAAACCAAGAGATGTTGCTGCCAACTCACCCTGTAGTACAAGAATAGTTGATTCTGGATCCAACCTGGATGTCTGTGATCACGTGCACCATGCCATTCACTGGATCTGGAGGAGTTTTACATGATTTACCTATGGGAAAGAAAGTGTTTTGGAGCCAGGTAGAGTAATCAGGACTCTCTTCAGTAAGTAAGGTCTCCATCAACATGTAGCTTGCTGAAGAAAATACGCAGTTCTGATGGTTCCACAGATTTTGCCACCTTGATAAAACTAATCAGAGCACCTCAGGATCAGCCACCTACTAAGCCCCACTTTGAAAAAGACTTTCCCTCCAGATCTATCTAGATCTAGATTTAGATCTGTGTAGAGACCTTGCATCCCTTATCAGAATGTAAAAGTCACTTATTGCATTAGTTACTACCAATATATTTCAAAGTTTGCAAAGGATTTCTTCCCACCTTGTTATTCAAACAGAATTTGTCTTCTTACACCATTTTTTTCCCCTGATCTAGTCACTTATTATTTTTCTTCCCATAGGGAATAAAGGTTTTCTCTACAACTGTTTCTTGAAACAGTCTCATGAAGTGAGCATTTCAAGCAATAATCAAGGATGACCTACAAGAAAAGCTCTTACATCCACCTATCTGAACACTTTTCAAAAAAGGTTTCTCGTATCCCACATTTGAAAACATTCAATAAGAAGCTTTTGCAGACATGGGAAAGATCCAATGCAAGTTCACTCACGTTTACAGACATCTTTGGGACTCGACCACACCAGGTTATCTAGACATGTGATAGAGAACGGCCTCCCGTAGTACTCAGGATGGCATTCGTACTTTAAAGATGTCCCAATGGGAAAGTCAGATGCATTGATTTGGGTTTTCAACTTAGCAAACAGAAAATGATCCGGGGCTTTACAGTGACCTAGAGACCAAGAAATCAAGAATATCTGAGTTAATAAAAAGATACCCAATATGTTTCCTCTTTTCTCCTCCTTGGTAGATTTGATGCCAGAAGAAAAGAAACTTTTAGTTTTGAAAAAACAAAAACAACAACAACAACAAGAAGAAACTTCCCTGTAAAATAGAAGGGAAAGTTCCATTAGCATAGGCTTATAAGGAAGTATATTATCTGGAAGACTAATCTGTTATCGGGTCTTTCTACTCATATAATTTATATATTTTAATTTTTACTTTTTTTTTCTATTTTTAGTAGAGTTGGAGGTTCATCATGTTTGCAGGCTGGTCTGGAACTCCTGACCTCTAGTGATCCACCCGCCTTGGCCTCCCAAAGTGCTGAGATTACAGGTGTGAGCCACTGTGGCCAGCCTATTTTCATTGTTTTTGAGATAGGGTCTCACTCTGTCACCCAGGCTGGAGTGCAGTGGCACAGTCTCAGCTCACGGCAACCTCTGCCTCCCAGGCTTAAGTGATCCTCCCATCTCAGCCTCCCGAATAGCTGGGAACACAGGCAATTGCCACCACGCTCAGCTAATGCTCATCTAATTTAATGCAAATATAGCTCTGATTTAATTTTTCACATTTTTAGGAAGCCAGAAAGAGTGTTTCTGCCCAGCTTCCACCTTTCGTGTCTGGTTTCCTTGTATTTCAGGGCATCAAAACTCCAATGAGAGGCCGAAAAGCATGGGCAGGAACTCAAGACATTTCCTGGTAGGAGGAGACACTGATTTTCTAGGTCAGATTTCTCAGCTAACCGTTGCAATAAGGGGATTGACGGCATTTGTTTTTAATTCATATGATTCTAATGAAGGACTTTCCCACCACTCATCACCTCCCTGTTTTTTCATCAGTCCCTCCAGCTGCAAAGGTCATCAGGATCTGATATGTTGACCTACCTTAGAACCATTTATCATTGGTTGGGCATTCCATTGTGGCAAATGCACACAGAGAAACCATACTGTAATTATGAAAATATGGAGGGCCTGTGTTAGATATTCTGAACCCATTTGGGATGTGGGGAAATGAGCACTAACCCAGAATTCCACAGCGAGGGGCAGGGCTGCTCCAAACCCCATTCCCTTGAGGGTCACTTGTGCAGCGGATGGTGCTCTCCCCAATGAGGTCGAAGGTCATCCCTCTGTCTGGGTGGGGGTCACATGTGTAAGTTACAGCTTTTCCAAAGGGAAAGACTTCCAGAGGTTTTCCTGTGTGTCTCCCATTAGGAATAACTGGAGGACTTGGACAAAAGATTTCTGGAAAAAAGACAAAAGCCCTAAGTTTCATTCAGGAGTTTCCCCAGAGGTATTCTGCAATTACAGGGTGCTATGATTGTTGTTGCTGAAAATATGCTAAGGAGGTGACAGTGGACATTAGGACTTCGAAGAGTTGGATTAAATGAGATGTCAATGAAAGTGTATTGCAAAGTACAAAAGAGATTTTTCTATCCTGAATCTTCCAGATAGTAATGGTTCCTGGACTACAGAAACGTTACAACTTTAATGAAGTAGCAAAACATCCGAAGAAGAAAAATAACCATTTTCAAGGGTTACTCATTCATTTAGTCAATATTTATTAATTGAGCACTTGTCCTGTGTCAGCCACTCATCAGGATCCTGGGGACGCAGTGCTGAGGAAGGAGCCTACGTTCTTGGGAAATATTTCTCAAATGCATATATGTGTGCTAATCATCTTAAATAAGTGAAACCTTCCACTGATTACTTATTGATATTGATCATCAATCTCTGTGATAACAATAACCCTGTCACAGTGAATTGAAACATTGTGACAGGCCATTATAAAAAACTCCAAATGGATTCAGATTGCTTTGCTTTTGAAAATGTCTGTGTCTGTTGATGATTAATTTTCTCTTTTTACGTTCTGGGTCAGGTTTCAAGTTGTTACTCCTTTCTAGCATCTACTGATTTGTTTAGAACAGTCTCTCCCTCATTTCTAATTGGTGTTTTTCATTAGAACTGGAATTTGGAAGAAGCTACTTTAACTAGCAAGAGTTATGAAAAATAAGAGAAATCTTGAGTAGTCAATCAATGAGTTTTAATGCATAGTAGTAGAACAGACATTTGTCATGCTGCTTCAAGGAGCACTGGATTACTTAGACAGCAAGAATCTCTGTATAAGTTTTGTTCTTACAAAATTTTCCTCTAAAAAGCACTGTAAGATGTCCAAGTATATTTCTAACAACATAAACATTTTAGTAAAATTTCATGGTCTTCTAAAGAAACATGTTTTCCAATTGTTAGAATCAAGAAATGAAGCAAAGTTCTATCTACCATTGGGGAAATTACAAATAGTTAGACTAGGAGAAATCAGTAGTCTACTGATTATTGAACATATGGGGCTCTCTTTTTCAAAAATCAACTTATTATTTATGAATCTCTCAGCATAAATGACTTAGGTACATGTTTTGAGAATTTAAGGAGTCTCCAACTGCTCGCCCTGTCTAATGTTGCACCCCACTTTTCCCTGATTCCTCAGTGCTTTGCTCTGTTATCTTCATAGCATTGAATTTATTTTTTTTCTTGTCCCTCTCCCCACCTGAGGAGAAACAACATGGGGTCAGGGAATTCATTCGTCTTGTTCATTGATAAAACTCCAGTGGCTAGATGAACATCAGACACAAAGTACGTGATCAATAAATATAATTAAATAAAGGCATGTTTAATATTTGTGTATTATCAAATACATACAAAAATTGTAGACTGACTGCACCTGATGGAAGAACAAAATGAAAAAGAAAGAAGGGAGGAAGAAAGGAAGAGAAAAAAAGAAAGAAAGAGAGAAACAAAGTAAATTGTTAAAGCTTCACATTATCTGATCTCTCCTGAAACTCCTAGAAGCACACTACCACAGGCTTTATTGCGGTAGAACACAGAATACAGAAGGACAGAGACAGATCAGATGATTCCAAAGACAGGTGATGTACACATTGATTCACAACCAAACATTATTAAAATAAGCAATTTTCAAATCAATAATTCGGACTAGAAAATTGAAGAACTGCATTAGGGGAGGTCATGGGTCAAATACTGAACAGATGAAGGGGAGAGACTGGCCTGAAATGTTACTCCTATTACTCACGTTCACACACTGGAACACTGCTATTCCAAAGGCTTTCCATTCCAGCCAAGACACAGTAACTAGCAGAGCTGCCTTTTAATTGAAATCTAAAGGAGAAAATAGGAGTGAATAGTGAGCTGCTTCAGCCAAGAGGACTCTTGGTTCACAATCTAAGACCCAGCCCCAAATCTCAGGATTTTGAGGACCTGAGGCCAGCAGGTGGCAGAATTGCACAGGCTACGTTATTCTGGAAGCTCACAGTCTCCAGAAGGGAGCAATATAGGATGGCAAAATGCAGTAACTTGGTCACATGACAGTCCTGCTTGAATTGAAAAAGGTGGTCATGACATGGGAACCAGCTCCTTGACCCAGGACCCAGGCTTGGAGTTTCACTGATTACTCCATGATAACCTGAAAAATCACTCATTGTCATTATTAGAAACCCAGTCTTCTAATGCAATGCCTTCCTAACTCTGATGCTGGAACAGCAAGTAAAACAGCTCCCAGTTTGTAAAACAGCTCCCAGTTTGGAAAAGTGGGAAATAGCTGGCGAGAGAACAGAGAGTGTCCTTTCATCTCCGCATCTGTGATGGCGTGAAGAAGGCTCACAAGGGCAGTTTGGGCTGCTGAAGAGTAAGTGTGAATATTCTAGGGGAAAAAGGAAAGAAGAGAGGACTGGATTTCTGTACGCAATCGTCGAAAATTCTCAGTTTCTGTTGGGCCCTGATGCCCTTCTAACTCTTACTGGGTGCTGGCATTTGGAGGCTGCCAAGATTCTGTGGAACATTTTGGGATCAGGTGCTTTGTTGCCCATGCTGATCAGCTCCCGTGTAGAGATGTGCACCCTGTGCATCTGTGAAGAGCACTAGATGGACATAAACAAGGTAATGACCTTGCCGGAAATAGCAGCAGCCATCAGGACCCCAGCTCAGAGCCCAGAGCCCATGAATAGCCAGATGATATGTGACTGAATTTTTTTAAAATGCTGATTTTTACATTTTCATTCCTATTACAAATTTCACTATAGATGGTTTAAAGAATTTACTGAAATGATTCTTCAATGATCCCAGTTATTAAGAATAAGTTTTTTGTTACTTGCAGTTTCTTTCTGGGACTCTCTAAATTACTCATGTTCTTTTTTGCTTGTAAGACATGATTTATTTTTCTTGAGACGGAGTTTCACTCTTGTTGTCCACACTGGATTGCAATGGTGCCATCTTGGCTCACTGCAAACTCCGCCTCCCAGGTTCAAGTGATTCTCGTGCCTCAGTAGCTGGGATTACAGGCACATGCCACCACGCCCAGTTACCTTTTGTATTTTTAGTAGAGACGGGGTTTCACCATGTTGGCCAGGCTGGTCTCCAACTCCTGACTTCAGGTGATCTGCTCGCCTCAGATCAACCTCCCAAAGGTGCTGGGATTACAGGCATGAGCCACCGTGCCTGGCTGATATTTTCTACTTAATGTGTTACCCATATATTCATAACCAGTAGTTATACTTGCCTTTGAACTCGCCAGTTAATATGTGTTCCAGTTTCCTCTTCACATCTCATGTTATTAGTTCTATATGTTTCTTTCCTTTCTTCCTATGTATACTTTGGAAAGTTCATCTCTCTGAATGTGTGTGTGTGTGTGTGTGTGTGTCTTTCTTTTAAGCCAAACCAAATCTTCCCTTTTTAAACTAATTCCCAGCCCCATTTTCAATGTCCAGTAGGTCAGGCAAGCTCATACTCACCCTTCATCACAAACAAAATCCACTTTTGCTCCAAGCTGGAGACTACGTGGAAATAGCACACGACCATTAGGAAGTTGGCCCAGGGAGTCATCACAGGATTTTACTGGAGTAATAGAAAAATGAACAGAAAATATTGGCATGTAGAGAATAAAGACGCAAGCTAAAAATATCAAGTCAGACAAGAGTCTAGGCACCTTCACATCTGGGGGCTGCAGGGCTCCAGTCTCCCTGGGATGTACAGCGCAGAGATGCAGCCCCTCTGAGGTCATAGCCAGGCTCACAGATGTAGAACACTTCCTGCCCAGGCTGAAAGATGTCCTTGTCCCTTTGGATACGCTCACCATGCAGGACATCTGGAGGTGGCTGACATACTGGGGAGAGAGAAACAAAGTATTGCTAATTTTCTCAATGTTAAACTGACCAAGGGAATAATAATTACAAATCTATATATAATAATAAATGTAAGATAACAGCTTTATTGATAACAAACTAAATACACAGGGCAAGGAAGATGTCTTGCCATCAGTCATAGAACTGACACATTGCAGAACTGTGAGTAAAACAGAGGTATCCTCAATTCATTGCTTTTCATCTGAAGTATGCAACTAACATTCTGCAATGGACAGTTCCTTGTAGAATGCTTCCAATTACTGTTCACCCAGTACAAAATTGGGAGGAATGATGGCTTTTTATATCTTCATACTTCCTTTCTAGAAACGCATCACCAACTTAGTCTTGCATTTTAGGCAATAAAGGAGTGCCTCTGCCCATGTCTTGTCTAATAGGTCCCTCTGTCACCTATCACACCGGTGCAACAAACAGCATCCATACATCTACTCTCATCTCCTGTCAAGACTTCTCTCAGTGGCCACCTGACATAAGGTGGTAACGAACTATGGGCCTCTCTTCACACTACGAAGCAAGGTGCTGTCTAGTCATTCATTTCACTATGGTGAGAAGGTGGGCAACTGTTGAACAAAATCTAAAAGACCTACTGTCACCATAATGAGAGTGTATATTTCAGGCAACATGTTGTAATAGTAGCACTGGCTCTCTCTTAATATAGTTGATCTGATCTTGGGAAGTCAGAACACATTTGGGTCTCAACTAAATTACATAAAACTGTTATAAAATGGAAAAAATAATTTCAGTTTGGCTTTGAGCAGACCAGTTCCCTTTTCTGGACTTCAGCTTTCTCAAGCATCTGGGGGATTGGACTAGAAGAACAACTTCTTTATGGAGTATGTAAATACTCTGATGCTGTAATGTCCATTTTCAGGACTCATCACACAGTGTTTCCCTTGTCTAATCAATGCTTGGTGATGTAATATTGAGGTGCTGTGCTGGTTAAATTTCTGTTGGCCCCCAGCCTCACACTTCTGCACTGTCTTTCGACTGCTAGCAATGGAAGCCTTAAAACTACAATCGTGAATGAACTGATGAAGATGGCC